TAAAGAACTACCTACAAAACCATAATGATGATAGGCTGGTGTCATATTTTATTGGATTGTAATAGTCCTCTACTTTATTGGTCAGGAAAGTAGGTGACCTGTCACTATAAATATAACTTATACTTAAATCTCAGTAACACGCACATATCGCTTGAGCGATGTCGACGGATCGAGATCAAATTGGAGAGTTTACCTTTCGAGTCATTTGGACCTTCCACTAAGATCCTCATTTGATATCTTCGGGAACAACACAACTGGCCTCGAAGTGGGTTGAACACGAGACCTCACAGTTCCCTATCGAGGGTCTATCGAGATTTTTACCTATTGGCCTATGTGACCTTTGGCAATTCAATTTAATTGATATGGGCTTCATGTATGCCAACCTGCTTAATTCTCATGTAAGACCTTTTTTTCGTTAGTTCGGTTTAAACACAACCATGAAATTTTGTAGGTCTGTGAAATGGTAGGGTCATATTTAGACCGAACTATACACACGATATATAATTCAGAACAAGAAGCTGGAATGTAGACCAAGTACCAAACCAAATACTATACAGTACAAACCATATCACCCCTATTCAATTTCGTCCAGCACTCAATTGATGTTTTTAAAGAGTACTTTTGTAAAAAGCTAGTTTTGTAAAAAAAATATTTATAATATTTCACTCTATTCAAAAGCTAGTTTTGTAAATTATAATTTCAAGATAGTTTATCACAAAAAATCCAAATTAGAGATTCTTATTTTATGTTCACTTTCTCGTTTTTCAAAAACTCAGTCTGTATAAATGTTTGATCCGGATTCAAATTGTAAAAAAAAAAATTCCTAATGTAAGATTAAACATGAACCATAGACTATTTATATCCACCAGAGTTGGTCGAACTACCTATTTCATTCTTATAATCAATTCTCCTAGACATCATTCACTTGATGGCCGTGGTTTTGATGCAATAGTCCTCTCTGCGAATAGTCATGTTCATATACAACACCAGTACAACTGGATTATCTAAACAGCTCAACTTGGCCAGCAGTAGAGATATACAACCATTCGCACCCGTTCCATGTGCAAATTTCTATATATAGCAAATTTTGTTTCCGGTTGTAACCGGAACGGTTAAAACCGTCCGGTTTCCGGTTTGACCGGAAAACTGGATCCGGATTCCCAGCCCTATAACCAAGGCATGCAAACTCGCATGAACCCTAGATATTGTTCCACTTGTTAAATGAATATAAATATAACGAATTTGCTAAGGTGACTTTCAAATAATTGTGACTCGAATAAAACATAGCTATCTTAAAATGATTCTACTATTAACAAAGAAATTTGATGATCGCTCCAATAGAACGTTCGATTGGTTGTCCATATGTGTTGGAGCATAATTCCACCACTATGAAGGTTTCAGTAGTAATGAATCACATCATTATCATTTAATCCAAAGAACCCCTATAAATAACCATCTAGACTGTTGATTTACCAATCAACAAAATCGAGTAAAATATTTTTTGTGGCTTTGTAACTTGGTGAAGCAGAAAAGATGTCGTAAAATCAAAGGTAGTTGTTTGTGCAATACTTGCATATCAACGGGTCGATCATGTACTGCTGTCTGGTAAACCTTTCAGGTATAATCGTGGGCTTCATTATTTCTAGAACACTCTCCACGACGTTAGCTTGAGGTATGAAAGTATTCTTAGTCTTAGTCGATCGACCTCTCCATAGTGCAGTAGACCAATTCTTTTGCTGCGATTCTCATAGCAGAAAGTTTTTCGCGGCGATTTTTGGCATCCCAAAAGTTACAATCCGTCGTCGCCTATACAGCGTCGTAAAATGTTAAATGTTCTGTGATGAAAATAACTGGGTCATCACAAAAAAATATCAAATTCTTTTCTGAAGTTCGATAAGTTAGAGGAGAACATGTCGTCGCAGAATGGTCATATGGTGACGACCGGACCTACGTAGCAGGAAAAGGTTATTTTGCAACGGATTGTGTGTCACAGAAACATTAATTTAGTGCCGAAACATGTCGTCGCCAAAATTTACGAGCTTTAGCGACCGAGACTTTGGTTTTTAGTTATCACAATTTGTTTTCTAGTTCAATTTACTATAGGTCCCAATTTGTTTACTGGGTTGTTTTCTGGTTCATGCACAAAATATGCTGGTCCACATCAAACTGTCTTCTCATAAAACCCAAAATTTCAGAGTCTCCCAAGATAACCACACTACCCATTCTTAATTTTTAATTATCATCCAAAATCCTAATTTGCAAGCCATTTAAAACCCCTAATACTAACCAATTATTTAAAGATTGACTCAAAAGCCTCTTTAATCCCAAATCTGCAAAGAAAACGAAAAATAAAATAAGACAAAAAATTAGAATCAAATAAAAAAATTAACTATGGGAATCAAAACTGTTAGAGTGATATAAGATCCAGCAAAATATTTTCTCAATAACTCGAATTATTGGGATCAACTGGTTCTTGACAAAAACATGTTACGAAAAGTCAGAAAGGTCCCCTACCTGTCGTCCTCCCTTGTCTTCGTCCATCCGCTGTAGTCCAGCATAAATTGGTCCTGTGAGCTTGAAAAATAAAGCACATTCCAGTCTTTTCCTTCTCATAACTCTCTTACACGCACACATCTTTCACAAGATTTCTCTGGCCAGTGATGTAACAGTAATAGATAAGTATTGCTGCGCCCTGTCCATATCTTGAATAGTCATCTTCATATGCAACATATATAGATCTTAACTATTAATGGTGGCCTGACCATCGATAATTCAAAGTTTTTATACAAAAGAAAACCTTCATCCCAACGACGGGAGAGGCAGATAGATCTTATATGATGAATGTATGTACACCTCAATTGCATGGAAGCCCATTCCTTTTATAGAATATATATTATAAAGACTTATCATACATTAATTTAATTGAGATTGTTAGAATCTGAATACATGATATTTTGATGGACAAGTATTGATTTGTTCCGAGCACTTGGAGTTGTAAAAAAGCAATGTGCTACAAAATCGAGTTTTATATTATTTGCTAACACATATCAATCTTTGTGTTTAAATGATCTTTGTGTTAGTCGCCCATAAGTAACTAAATCTGAAACTCTGAATTTAAGTGGATCCAGAAAATTCAGATCTAAGGGTTGTGAATTAAATGCATTTTATTTTTTCTATTTTTCGTAATTGGCTCTTATCTTTTTCGTTTTAATTCGGATTTCAAATTTTTTTACCCAGATGGAACGAGTTAATTGTGCTCTATAAAATGAGATCAATTTTCAATATTTTTTTAGAAGAAAGATTTCATACATCTCGTTACCAACTCCATACCATATATCTTCTTCATTTTTAAGTCTTTTTTGAAAATATTTACCCAAAAGGAACGAGTTCATTATGATCTATTGGATCTACAAATTTCTAGGTGAAAAAAATATAGGACAAAAAAATACTACACAATGATGAAAGTGGTAAATGACAGTTAATATACTCATACTATCATGTATTTAACCATCTGACAATCTTGGTATGTTTATACCACCATGGTACACTTTCATACCATATGGTATGCTCTTATTTAATATCAGTTAATCTGATTTATCTTTGCAAAAATATTTAAATTTCGACTTAAAATGATTGAGAAATCGTTCGTTAAAAAATAAAAATTAAAAAATTAAAGATTTACCATAAGAGAAATGGTGATGATGTCTAAGTGATGTCATCAAATTACTAATAGGTTACCTAAATTTATTGACCGAATCTCTCCCGAACTCTTGATCAAAAGCTAGCTAGCATTATTATCCTCCCTCCCGTCTGTTTCATTCTTGTCACTGTCTTTACATATTTTTCACAACATGTGTTCTTATATGGCCCATAATGCATTGAATTGATTTTGGGGCCTCCAGTTGTGGAAGTCATTTTCCATCTGCAATATCGATCAGTACGTAGCAGAGAGCTGGAAACAGTTCAATGTTCCACCGATGAAGATTTTGACACCATTTAATTTACACTAGTTCCAAGAGTAAAAATTTATTAGCTGATATGTTACCAACTTATCGTAGATAAAAATATTTTTCTATAAAAATATTCGACATTCGTAGAACATATATCTATAACCGCTAAGAAGGCCGATTAATAATCAATAAGTATTATTAACGACCAAAAATAGAAAATGCCACACTCCAAGAAAGGAAACGACTTCCACCCTCTCTTGGCCTCTAGAGCTTGAAGCTTTTTGGTCCATTACACATTCTAGCTCCTCTTCTCATCATGTCGGCTCGAATGAAGAACTGAGGATGTAAGTTCTGTCCAAGAACAACTGGTTTTTTTTTTTTTTCTTTTTTTTGTGTATTGAGTTAAAACAGCGACGTTTTAGTTGACTAATATGGTGTGGCGGATAGACGGTTAACTGATATATAGATTAACCATTAATTACACTACTGACACTACTGATTAACAATTAATCAATAAGTTTTGACGGATCGATTTATCCACTTCACATTCACCAACGTTCTATCCAGTCTTTTTGCTATTATTGGTATATATGACATATTTGTTGTTGTTGTTTTTTTTTTTTTTTTACCTTATATTATATGGACCGAATCAAAGATTCTATTGAATTCTTATGGTCATTAGATTGATAGATACAAGCGAGTTGCATGATATTGATCGAACAGACCGGCCAGTCGGCAAAGGAACTGAGAAACATACAATTTGTGAAGAAAAGTTTACACAAGCACCAGACACCACGCATGCATGCAGTACGTACGCAAACAAAGTGGACACTCATTTATTCTTCAGTACTTGACAAAAACAAAAACGAAACATCAATACTGCTAAAAAAATGGCTTTTTGTCACCAACACGCTTGCGTAAGTTGGTCGCAAACTATGAAGCTGACAACCAACTTATTGCGACGGAAGTTGAAACGTTTAGCGACCACTTTTGTCGTAGATAGATATGATTACATGCAGTTGCACTTTGATGCATGGGGTGGCCTTGAGTTTACGCTTTAACCGGATCGATTCGGGCCCTGACGTCGAGCTGGAACGAATCCCAAGCCGAAACCACCATGGATTGCAGCGTCAGCTTCTCTTCCTCCAGTTTGGCCTTCCTCTCCTCTTCCCTCAGCTCCAGACCGGCGACCTTATCTTCCAGCTCCCGAATCCTGTCCTTGAGCTCCTGAATCTTGTCCCTCAGCTCCTGATTCTCGGCCTCCAGCCTACTCTCGTTCGATTCCCACTCCATGAACTCGAAGAACCTAGCATCGGTAACTGCCCTGTAGCAAAGACCCAACCGGTGCAAAAGGGGGATTTGATTGTTACGGAAAACCTCAACTTGGTTGCGGTTCCCCAAGTGACGGAACCAGACAGTAGTGCTGTCGGGGCCGAACACAGGCTGGAACAGGGTGCATTCGCCTCCCCTGGAGACGTCCTCCTCCTGGGCGTCGGCGGTGGCGGAGAGGGTGGAGACGGTGTTGATTCTGAGGACCCGCCAGTACTTGCCGTTGTGAGAGCAGCGGATGTGGACCAAGGAGGATGGGTCGGTGGTTGAGGGGATCACCTCCAATTTCACGAACGGGCTCACCGCTTCCAGGTTCCGGTGCGTGCCCATGCACTCGAAGTAACTCTCGCCGGCAATTTCGCGGTCCCAAATGTAATGCAGATACCTGTCCTCGACCTTTGATCGGAGCACCATATTCCGCGGCAGTCCGGCTACTCTCTCCATCGATTCTCCGCGGGAAGGGAACGAATAATTGATGTTGTTGGACTTGGTGTGGTTTTTTGCTTTCTGCTTTTGTTGCCTGGATCGAGAAATGCTTTTTCTTAGTTTAATTTATAGACACTATAAGAAACTAAAAATTCCAACACTACTAATTAATAAAAAGGGGTCAGGTGGTTGCACCTATACCTACTCGTCATGTGTGGCTATTTTTTTTTCTTCTTTTCTTCTTTTTTTTTATGATCTTAGATTTTTTTTGTTTTGTTATTTTCCTCTTGTTATATGTCTGAATACCGATGGACCAGTGCGTTGAATACAACAGTATGTGACACATTAAGGGTTGCTGATTGATGGCGCGTTATCACAACCTACACCGTTAACATTGGAGGAAGCTAAATTACTCGTGCGTAATTGACCGGAATTGTGCATGGTTTGAAACTTACAAGAAATGTAGGAGCTAGAAAAGTTCTTCTCATACACGCACGATCATTCATCATTGCTGGGTCACTTATGAAGACGCCATAACCCAACATTCAACAATCCATCCACCTGCATTTCCGAGATCTGAGGTTGGTTAGCCATAGACTAGGAAGTCAAGATTGAGCTTACCGATTTAGTGAATGGATTAAAGGCCAGTTTAGTGGTAATATGGGATGAAAACATTTACCATATTCTAGATTCAAACTTTGAGATCAATAAATTTTAATTATAATATCCGGAAAAGGAAAACAATGGAATCAAATTAAAAATGATCTTGATGCATTTATTTTATATTGAATAATAATTATTAACTAACTTGTTTAACTAAAAAAATAAAAATAACAGAAAATTAAATATATTATACTTATATAATATAAATAAATAAATATCATTGTTTAGATCATAATTAATGTGTTCATTATATTCAAGATTTTTAAATTTCAAATTAAAAAGAATGAGATATAATCCGAGTAAGAGAAATAGAGCTTGGATCCGTGTGACTTAAAAAACAAAAATGGAAGAGGGTGTTAAATTACTAGTTTGCCCCTCCTTAATTTTTTATTACGAACTATTTTGGACTGTTATATATGATTAAGATAAATGAATTAGATTGTATTTTGTAAAATAAGGTTTTGTACCTTTTCCTTTTCCTCTTGAACTTTATTTATTATCAACACATGAGGAAATTAAATTACACGAAAGGATGAGCTGACGGAGATCGAGTTCCATCCTTATGTATATAGCATCAATCCGATGGTCTGGTTTTGTTCTGGCATGGTCGGATCATATAGCTCGCGGTTTGAGTACCTGTTAGGAACCGCTAGTAATTTTATCACTATAGTCTACACAGGTGATGCTTGGCCTGAATAATTCTATACGGATAACATGGCGAACATCCTTACATAAAAGATATAACTTATTATGGAAAATTTAATTTCCATGTATAAATTTGTGTGTTCACGTATACTATTTTCTTGCAACACGTATACTATTTTCTTTAATAATCACTAAAATTAAGATTCTTTAAGATTGTTGGGAAAATTGTTCACGTATACTATTTTCTTGCAACACAAGCAAACACATAAGATTAAGAAAAAAATGCAAAGACAAATACAAGCGTCTTAGCCGATAGAATTCACTATCTCTCCTTAAAGAATCTTATTCCCCTCAAGTACCCAAGGTTGTGGAATGATTCCTCCCATGATAGAAAGGACGTACCATTTCCGGCGTAGCGGTACCTCAAACCCCGGAAATCATCGAACGCAGCGAAACGGCGAGAACCACACTTGACTCTATTTTCTCTTTGAAAAGAATTCAGAAAAACTAGTTTTGGATTTTGGCAGAGTTTCAGTACCGGGAAAAATCCATGTAAAACTCGTATTCAAAACTAGAGGGGGTATGTGCTATTTATAGAAAATGAAGGGATGCATTGAAGGGAGGCAACTCTTCATATGGGTGGTTACACCCCAACCATTGCATTGGTTCGTTTAAAATATTTCAACCATTGCATTGGTTCGGCCTCATGGAAGTTGGACCGGTTTGGTTATTCCAACCGCCATATCGGTTTGGTTCGAATTGGTTCAACTCGGTTTGGTTCATTTGGTTACACAAACCAATTTAACCAATTAACCACATATTACATCAAATCGATCGAATTCGAGGCCATGCCTTCCCACATCTTACCAACATGGTACTTCAAGAGACTCTCTTGAAACTTTCCCCTTTTATTTCCATTCACACCACTAAAAATCCCAACAATCAAAACCATATATTAAGCTGAGTCCAGTCTCTCACGGTTCCAACTGATGGCTGCCGCCAGCCCATACGAACAGTACCCCTCTCTGCCAGGGGCGGAGCTAGGATTCGGTGTTCGGGGGGGCCGGAATATTTTATTATGTTACTTCAAAAAACGATAAAAATTAACAAAATTTATTTTAATATTATTATTATTATCGCATTTTTAGATTATTAGAGTTACTCAAAATAAAATTTATAGTGTTGTTTATTTTATGTAGACAAAATTAAATATGTCATATCCGTAAGTTTTTTCTATGAATTCATTAGTTTGTATGCTTCTAAAATTAGTATTGATTTGACCCGTTCTGATGGCAAGTGTAGAAAATGTATTTTCATCTTTTAGTCGGGGGACAAAGACATGATTCAGCTTTCATAAGGGAGGTTTATTATAATAACATCAATTCTAGATGATCATAATGAACTAAAATTTTGTATCACAGTACAATATAAATGAAAGAAAGTAAATAAATTAATAGTGCATTTCAATATTTTGTAACACATTCTATTTTTCATATTTGAAAATCATCATCTTGTCTAGTATCTTCTAAAAAATTCTTCATTCATTATTTATCCGAAGAGTATTCTTTAAAATTTTAATTTAATAGTGCATTTCAATATTTTGTAACACATTCTATTTTTCATATTTGAAAATCATCATCTTGTCTAGTATCTTCTAAAAAAAATTCTTCATTCATTATTTATCCGAAGAGTATTCTTTAAAATTTTAATTTGAAGAACTTAATTGATATGATTTTATAGTGTAGAATTTAAGAAAACAAAATATGCAAATTGATAACTTATGAGACAAAGACTGAAACCATATTGAATTTAATAGAAATAAAAAGAACTACATGATGAAAAATGAATGAGAAGTTATTAAAACTGAAAAGTTAAAATCATAGCATCTGCATGCAATGGGTTTTCTTGACCTAAGGGATGTACTATCAAATTTGCATCCACTAGACTGTCTTGTTTTTTGTTTCCATTTTGCACACTAATATTTATATACATTCCATTTATTTTGTACGAAATTTCCAAATACCGATATTTTTATACGTATCTTTCAAAATTCTCGGGGGGGGCCGGGCCCCCCGAGACCTAGTGTAGCTCCGCCCCTGCTCTCTGCTGCGAGCCCAGCCCACTCACTAACTCTCACAACCTACCCCAAATTCCTAACCCTAATAGGCTACTTCACCCCCATCCCTCCTCCTCAACCCAATCGCACCACCGGCGCCGACTACCATCATCAATCCCACTTCCACCCTTCACTCCAGGAAACCAATCATTCCTTGTCCCAATAATTAACCCAGAAAAAACGACAAAATGCCTAAAAACAAAAATTACACTGTTGGGCTTCTGGAGATCCAAATGACCCAATTTTCTATGAATATCTTATCCACAGTCCACCCATATGGCCATATGCAATAATGCATGCATTATTGAGGTCTAATTATTGAGGTCATTAACGTCTCTTAAAAATAATAGACGTACGTGGCAAGTCGGTGCAGCGCAATTGACATAATGACATGTTTGTGCCATAGAGCTTCGCTTTTAAGAACATCAGTGCAAACGTTTCTTATTTATACACAAGTTAACTTTTTTTTTTTTAACATGGTTTCGCGCTCACAAAGACATATTTGTATTTGTAGGTTTATATGTAACACCCCGAACCTTTTCCCGACAAGATACTGTCCGCTTTGGGCCTCTACACCCGCACGGATTTCGACTTGGGGTGCAATTCAGGATGACTTCCCATAAGGTCACCCATCCTTGTAGTGCTCCACACTGAGCACGTTCAACTTCGGAGTTCTCACAAGAACTCCTCCATTACACCCCAAAACGCGTCTTATCAGTTAAGGCCGGTTTCCTACTTATGAACCATGGATCTCTCCCGTGCTTTGTCGATGTGGGATTCGCCTAAGGTGTTACATACACCCCCCCTTGGGACTCAACGCCCTCGTTGAGGTTTGCCCCACCATCGTTCAAGAGGGACGCGGAGAGGCTCTGATACCACTTGTAACACCCCGAACCTTTTCCCGACAAGATACTGTTCGCTTTGGGCCTCTACACCCGCACGGATTTTGACTTGGGGTGCAATTCAGGGTGACTTCCCATAAGGTCACCCATCCTTGTTGTGCTCCACACTGAGCACGCATAACTTCGGAGTTCTCACAAGAACTCCTCCATTACACCACAAAACGCGTCTTGTCAGTTAAGGTCGGTTTCCTACTTATGAACCATGGATCTCTCCCGTGCTTTGTCGATGTGGGATTCGCCTAAGGTGTAACATACACCCCCCCTCGGGACTCAACGTCCTCGTTGAGGTTTGCCCCACCATCGTTCAAGAGGGACGCGGAGAGGCTCTGATACCACTTGTAACACCCCGAACCTTTTCCCGACAAGATACTGTCCGCTTTGGGCCTCTACACCCGCACGGATTTCGACTTGGGGTGCAATTCAGGATGACTTCCCATAAGGTCACCCATCCTTGTAGTGCTCCACACTGAGCACGTTCAACTTCGGAGTTCTCACAAGAACTCCTCCATTACACCCCAAAACGCGTCTTATCAGTTAAGGCCGGTTTCCTACTTATGAACCATGGATCTCTCCCATGCTTTGTCGATGTGGGATTCGCCTAAGGTGTTACATACACCCCCCCTTGGGACTCAACGCCCTCGTTGAGGTTTGCCCCACCATCGTTCAAGAGGGACGCGGAGAGGCTCTGATACCACTTGTAACACCCCGAACCTTTTCCCGACAAGATACTGTCCGCTTTGGGCCTCTACACCCGTACGGTTTTTGACTTGGGGTGCAATTCAGGGTGACTTCCCATAAGGTCACCCATCCTTGTTGTGCTCCACACTGAGCACGCATAACTTCGGAGTTCTCACAAGAACTCCTCCATTACACCACAAAACGCGTCTTGTCAGTTAAGGTCGGTTTCCTACTTATGAACCATGGATCTCTCCCGTGCTTTGTCGATGTGGGATTCGCCTAAGGTGTTACATATATCTACTTTCAGAAACCTATCTATATATTGATGATCTACTTTCCTATAGCATACTAACAAAAGTTCTATGTTGTATTAATATTACTCGATAATTGTCCCTCCGAGTACATCTGGTATTACTAGATAATTGGTCCGCATTTCACAACAATTTATCAAAAAATATATATTAATTAGAAATAAATAATACTTTCGTTTTAAATAAAGGTGATATTATTAGGGAAAGAAATAATTTTTCAATAAATGTTAAGTTTTTAGTTTATATCGTATCATACTTCGAGCACTTCTACTATGCTATAAAGTATTGGTGCTTTAATGTACAACTTAAAGTTGTACCATAACGTTAAATGTATAAGTTCAAGTTGTACCATAAAGCAACTTATACCATTATGTTATGGTACAAGTTTACAACTTGAAGTTGTACCATAACATAAATGTACAAGTTCAAGTTGTACCATAAAAGAATTTGTACAAAAAGTATAGGTACAATCTGAAGTTGTACCATAACGTTGAAGGTACAATTTCAAGTTGTACCATACAAGCAAAAACCTATAGAACCAATGCTATATAACATTGTAAAATTCCTCATATTTTCTTAAACAACTACAGGACTTTATATATGGTAATGAGATTTTGTGGTATTTCTTGTCATAAATAAAAGTTTATTATATAGGTGCAGCAATAAGCTTTTAATAGGCTTAGCTGGGGTTTTTTTTTTGTCCTTTTTTTATTTTGGCTGAAAAGAATCGTAATAAAAAGAATTGCTGAAAATTTTGTTACAAAATTGAGAAAGGAACTAGTGATTATTACTATTAGTAGTAATGCCGTGTGCTCTATCCAACTGCCAAATCTTTACGAATATTATAGGACTATAAAATAACATCCCTCTTTTGACACTATTATGGAACAAGTACCCGCAAAAGCAAAATCATATGTGATTTATACACTGCGAGGACGATACAATTGTATAAATACTTACATTAATTTTGTACATATTTTCATAATAAAAAAATCATTATTTCATCACATTTGTAGAGTAAAAAGCAAGCAAACGTAACTTAGAATTTGATGCACAAATGAAAAATTTTATAGAGTAATAAAATATGAAAAATAAATGCGTAGAAAAATTTTCTAGCTGTAGAAGAACAATCACTCTAGAAACTTTTTATCTATGCTTCAAGCCTTCAACCTTTGCACTAACTTTTACTTACTATATATCAATATTGGATATCTCTAATGAAATATGTTGATTTCACCAGCAATAGTTTATCCAGTTGACGTGCTACTAAAAGTGAGCACTTAGTGAAAAGGAACTGCTTATTATCACTATTACTAGTAATTCTGTATATATACTCGTACCCGACTCTGCCAAGATCGTGTCTATAAAACTAAAAGCCTCCACTTCTAGCCTGCACCATCTATCTTTCTACTCACCCGCAGTAAGCGATGGCGACGCTAGTAGCCGGACTGCCGCAGTACGTGGTCCTCAAATCAAAGAGGCTAAACATCTACATGCACTACATGTGGAACGACGACGAGTTCGGTGACTTCTACGAGTTCATCGGCACCAAACGGGCCTTGGATCCGGTGAGCCCGTTCGTCAAGCTCGAAGTCGTCCCTTCCACCACCAACCCATCGTCCTTCGTCCACCTCCGCTGCTCTTACAACAACAAGTTCTTCCGTCTTGTCCAAAGGTACGTACGTTTCTATATTAATCCACGACTTCCTTTTGTAATCCATTTTCCCCCTCCGTTTCCATATTCATTCGTTGACAAAAAAAAGGGAAACAGGTTGGGAGTGTGGATGGTCACCGCCACGGCGGACAACCCCAACGAGGACACCTCCGTGGTCGGCGAGTGCACGCTGTTCGAGCCGTTCTTCCCTTCCGACCAGCCCGACACCGTGTGGTTCCGCTACGTGGCGAACCAGGGCCGTCTCTTCTGGTTCAACAACCCGGACTTTCCGGACGAGTACGGGATGTCGATCGTCTACTCCCAAGAGGAGCGCTTCACCACGTACTACGACTACGCGCCGTGGGAGTCGTACGAGGACAAGATGCGGGCGAAAGACGCGGTGATCCAGGCGCGTGACGTGGAGATCCGGAGGCTGGCTGCCGAGGTGGCTGACAACGGAGAGGAGATAAAGACCCTGCGAGGCCAGCTGGCGGACAGGGACGGCGAGATCGTGAAGCTGGAGGGCCAGGTGGCGTCTTGGGAGGCGTACGTGGAGAAGAGGAAGGTTAAACTGGAGGATGGGATGGTGACTCTGCAGTCCGCCGTGGCGGCGGCGTGGGAGGCGTTCCAGGACAACGTCAGCGCCGGGATTGGGAAGATTAAAGGTGGTCTTGGTCGGTTCGGTAAGGTACTTAAGCTGCAAAAGGTACATCATGGTGATGACCGCATGTTACGTACCATATGAGTGCTTAAATTACCAACCGCGCGCCTGTGAAATAAGTGTCGGTACGGTTATTAAATCACTGAGGAAGGGACGATTGTGAAATTAGTACAGGGTTTCTATTAAAAAATGTCTTGTGTAATTTTGTTTTTCTACAATAAAAATCTGTGTGTATGTAGGGCCTGCCTCGCCAGTAAGTTGGTGAGAAGAATAAAGACAATTTGCTTGAGAGATCGGTGGATACTGTTAAGGCATTCATGTAATACTAAAATTCAGAGTTAAGGAAAAAAAAGGTGCGTTTAACCATGCTTAGGCGAGACGACGGATGGCGAAGTAACAGGACACTTACACATAATTAGGTGGATATCTATTTTTTATTTTATTTCAACCTTTTCAATAACTCAAAAACTTTACAAGCTATTGAAATATATATGATTCAATAAAATTGTGAAATATGATTCAATGCATTGGTGATCAATTAATACAATGCATTAATTAGTCACATTCAATAGAGATCTGAAGGGAATAAATAATTGAATTTATTCATCAAATCCAAAAATAGTTGCATCCTAATCGTGTTTTAATTCTCCAAAATTGCGTTTTAATTACATATAAAAGTATATCCTATTATCAATGAATTGACAAGCAAGGGGAGATTTTTTTTCTCTCGTTTAGCGATAGACTCGGATCTAGGGTTCCGACGATTCTTTTAGGTTTTTCTTCCAAACAGGTCTCTGTTGATTGATAGGTAGAGCGGTGTTTAGCTAGCTTTAATCCTAAATCTGCCTCCTGCGTTTTAGGATAGTGAGTGATAGTTTCCTAGGAGCTTCATATTAAAGTTTCTCAGGTCTCGTGTTTTTCCTGAAACCCTACCTGCCTCATGCAGTACAGGGTGAGGGAGGGATTCTATGAATATTGTGAGCTGATAAGCAATAAGCAAGTCGGATCAGTTATAAAAACAAACATCATTGAAATGGACGGACAATCAATAGAGGAAGACACAAATACGACTGAGTTGAATCAGAACCCTCAACAGGACATTGATGCAGCAATGGTTCAAGCTGTCTACCTTCTGGGACTCGTTGGGATATTGGTGAGGCAAAAGAAACCAAACCCGAAATCAATGAAGACAACACTGCCAAAGGCATGGAAACTAAATCAGAATTTTCAGATAATAGAAGCAAGTGAACAACTTTTCGGATTTCAATTCCTAGAAAGAAAAGATCGAGACAAGGTTCTTTTGGAGGATCGTGGAATTATGAGAATAGTTTACTCATCTTCACGCAAGCAGATGCTTTCCAGAACCGAAAACCAGAGGAATTCTTTATGATGGACATCTGGATGCAAATCTATAACATGCCAGCTGCGCTAAGAACAATTGAGATTTTACACAAAATCATAGCTCGATTTGGAACGATGTTATGGGTTGATAGAAGAAGGGACAATAGATGGGATGATGTGCTAAGAATAAATGTGGGGAAGGACATAAGAAACCCCTGCAGCAGGAACTCAAACTCAATCTAAAAGGGAAGGTGCATAGCCATGAAGTCAAGTATGAAAAACTTCCAATTTATTGCTTCTCATGTGGATTAGTGGACCACCCCAAGCTACATTGTCCCCAACCGTCACAAGATGGCAAGGATTTGGTAAGTCCTGAACTACCGGTTGGTCTAGCTAAAGACAGATCATGGGAAAGCAAGCTGGAAAGAGAAGAATTAGAGGACATTTTGCATGTTTAGCTTTAAGAGCTAAATTTGACAGGGAGGCGATGACAACAAAGAGACAAATAGAAGATGTTGAATACAGAGAAAGAATATAAAAAGTAAGCATTGACGAATTACTGAGAGAAGAATTGATACAGAAGGCCATCACAGAAAATGCCAAAGAACAACATCATAAATTAATCCCCAAATGACACAAAAAAAAGAACATTGGAAAGGCTGAGGAGAGGAAATATGAAGTAACTGAAAGGTGTATCTCCTAACCAAAAATCGGATGGCGGTGAGGCGGACCTTAATCAGGAAGTCCGCCCAGCCCAATGAGTTTAAGTAGCTATAACTGTCGTGGCATGGCGAGAACCACAACAGTTAGCAGAGTTGCTATGCGACCCGAAGGGGAAGCGGGTGACACGGACTAGAGGCTTACAAGTAGCTATGGATGGCATGAACAGGAGAACAAAAAAAAATACTTGGGATTTAATGAGAAGATTAAGCTCCCATCAATCCGCGCCTTGGGTGATTTGTGCTGACTTCAAACAAGTGTTGGGATATGAGGAAAAAATGGTTCAAGACCACATGACATACAGAAATATGGAGACATTCCGTGAAGTAAACCACCTGGATAGATGGGTATATAATCACCTTTCCTATTCAGTTGGAACTCAACCTAGAAGAAAAGAAGGTGAGATGACGCTAGCATTTCAGATTTGAGTCGTTCTGGCAGAAACATGAAGATTCTGGTCTACTTATACAAGAGGAATGGACTAAAAGGATACATAGCTCAGTAGAGGAAAGAATAAAAGGGTTGTGAAAAATCCCATCTAAAGTGCAGCAAAGGAACATTTGGCAATATCAATAGAAGGAGAAGGAAAGCAGAGGCAACATTGGGAGTAATAGCAAAAAAGAAGAAGAATAAAGTTATCATTACACAGAGGAAGGTGCTAGAGAAAGAGCTCAATGAGCTAATACAACAAGAGGAGCTCAAGGTACCAAGCCATCAAGACATGCTTGGTATCAAGTTATCAAAACTACCAAAAGCTAAGTATGAAATCTTAGGGGTGGGAGCCGGTTGGCCAGGATGCCAAGTTAAGAGGTTGTCAACTTGACGAGGACTTGGTGTAGAGCCCCCAACAGAGCGGCAAGGTACCAACGTGATGAAATTCCAAAAACTAAGTATGAAGACCAAGCCAGAGATGGCAGACTTGGTAGAAGTAGGTATTAAGCCAGAGAGATAACAAGGTACCAAGTTGGGATGAGCTTGTTAGCAAGATGGTCAGAATGGCTTACCAACAGGGTATCAAGCAGATAAGACGAGCCTGGTCCCAAGATGTCAAGATGGTGCCATGACAAGCTCTCTAAGACTAAGTGTGGAGACTTGGTGGGTAAAGAAGCCAAGTTCTCATCCTGTCTAAGTAGGTAACAAGGACTAGCTAACAAGACGAGGATGGCAAACCGAGAGGCAGGCTAGGTAATGAGACAGAGATTATAATAAGTCAGCATTAAAGGAGCTGAGTGTGGCATCGTTGAGGAGGCACGATGAGAAGACCAATGTGATGGAGGCAAGACAAGGAGGCCCTAACTCCTTCTAGTCAACATGAGGCGGCAAGATGGAGCTCAATTCGACACCAATTAAGCCTTATGCCAAGCCACCCAGATGACAGTTACCAACCAGTCACCAAGGCTGCAATGAGGACTCCGAGGTGGTTTGGAGCAACATGCCAGCTTGCAGTTACCGGGGCGATTACCAAGGTAGTTACACTTAGTGGCTATAAATAGGAGAACGAAGAAGAAGCAAGGGTTCCACAACCAACTATTTGACCCCCAATGTCAAAGTTTTATCTTTACTCTGCAAATTAGTCATAGCCTTATTTTTTGGACTCTCACTGAACCTCCATAGGAGTAGGTGTAATTAATGTAGTTTGTTCCCAAAAAACCATCAAAATATCAAACACCCTCGTTCGGAGAGGTGTGAACCGGGTTTAGAATCGTTGTTGAAGAAGTTAGGGTGCATTAATTGAGTTCAAACACCAGATTTTATTCACCGAAAAACAGGTACCTTTGACACCGATGAAGAAACTGCTCTGGCTTACGATAAGGCAGCTTACAAGCTGAGAGGCGACTTCACCAGGCTTGATTTCCCCGACCTCTGCGATGATACAGTTCTATCTCTCTCCTTCTGTTTTTGTCGGAGTTACTTAAAACGACTGTATCGCCATTGGGGAGCGGATAGCGGAGCTCGACAGCGGCCTCGGCACATAGGTTGGCGAGCTTGGACATGAGGTCAGTGAAGGAGACAGTGGTGAAGTCGAGGTTGTCGACGGAAAGGACCCAGGTGGCCTGGTCATCGAGCCGGCGTATCGTAGCTTGGTGTCTCCGTGATGGGGTGGGAGGATCTGACCGCCGTAGCTAAAGAGGAACTGCTGTTTTGGGGGCATTTGCTCAGAGTAGTGGGATTTTGCAGTGAAGAAGGAAGTTCACGGTGGTCTTTGCGCCCACTCCACTGTTAATAATTATTTTTTAATTTTTTTAAATTGACAAGTCAGCTGTCCGTTTATTATGTCATCAGAAAACTGACGGAGTAAACGGAGCTTGACGGAGACTGACGGCCGATGACTAAAAGTGAAACGATTCGTAAAGTTAATGGTCAATAAGAAAGAAAAGAAATTCCGGTCGTAAACTTGAATTTTTATTTTTTTTTTGTAATTTGAGTGACCAAACGTGTAATTTAGCCTACATGTAACTGAGCACATGCAAAACTGGCTCTTAGTCTTAGGAACAGTAATGATGATTTAGCTTTACATACAGTAATTAAATTAATTATTTAATAAGCGGATACGTTACGATACATAATTAAAGTACACCATGAGCATTGTATGGGCATGCAATATAGTATATGCATTCATATACAGTCGCTTCCGGCCAGCTAGCTAGCTGTTCTCATTAACATTATTCACTATAATAACCAAACTCATTCCTCGTGTCACGTTCCCATCTCCTAAAAAATACTTAAATCAATACATTAGAAATTATCGCGACGTACGTAGAACGCCGCAATATTTTATGATGAAAAATAATTTCAGAAAATCAATAATAACTAGCTAGCTACCTATTGGCTCGGCTGGTTGGTTGCGATTATATATACCAAGGCCTGCAATGCATCCACTCTCATATACACACTTGCCATACTAGTACTAAATACTTCACAGAGAGAGAGAGAGAGAGAGAGAGAGAGAGAGAGAGAGAGAGAGAGAGAGAGAGAGAGAGAGAGAGAGAGAGAGAGAGAGAGAGAGAGAGAGAGAGAGAGAGAGAGAGAGAGAGAGAGAGAGAGAGAGAGAGAGAGAGAGAGAGAGAGAGAGAGAGAGAGAGAGAGAGAGAGAGAGAGAGAGAGAGAGAGAGAGAGAGAGAGAGAGAGAGAGAGAGAGAGAGAGAGAGAGAGAGAGAGAGAGAGAGAGAGAGAGAGAGAGAGAGAGAGAGAGAGAGAGAGAGAGAGAGAGAGAGAGAGAGAGAGAGAGAGAGAGAGAGAGAGAGAGAGAGAGAGAGAGAGAGAGAGAGAGAGAGAGAGAGAGAGAGAGAGAGAGAGAGAGAGAGGGAGGGAGAGAGGGAGGGAGGGAGGGAGGGAGGGAGGGAGGGAGAGAGAGAGGGAGGGAGGGAGAGAGAGAGAGAGAGAGAGAGAGAGAGAGAGAGAGAGAGAGAGAGAGAGAGAGAAAAGAAAAGGAAATTAGGAACAAGGAAGTGATGGCGATAGTTGCCGGACTGCCGCAGTATATGGTGCTCCGATCAGGGAGTCACGGGACTTACCTGCACTACCTGTGGAACGACGAGTTCGGCGTGACGCAAAGCTGCATGGGGGTTAAACGGATCTACCTTGTCGACGAGAGTGTCGGCAATCCGGACATGTTCCAAGTGGCAATGGTTACGGCCCCGAGGAAGAATACACTAGTTATTTCGAGTTCGCCCCCTGGGAGTCGTACGAGGACAAGATGAGGGCCAAAGACGAGGTGATCCAGGCCCGAGAGGCCGACATCGCCAGGCTGGCGGCCCAGGTGGCTGCCAAGGATGCGGAGATACAAACCCTCTCAGGGCCCAGGTGGCTGCTAAGGACGGCGAGATTCGTGCCTTGCAAGACGTGGTTCGTGCTCGGGACGAGGAGATCGTGAGTCTGGATGCTCAGGTCGCCGCCAAAGACGAGGAGATTCGCGATTTCCAAGACCAGCTGGCCGAGAAGGAGGAAGCGGTCCTAAACCTGCAAGGCCAGGTGGCGGCGTGGGAGTCCTACGAGGAGGAGAGGAAGGCGAAGCTGGAGGCCGAGATGCTGACACTGCAGTCTGGGGTGGGTCTGGCTTGGGACTCCTTCGACGGGAACGTCACGGCCGGATATGGCCCGGAATCGATGATCGGCCTAAAGATTAATTAATGCTGATATTATGTGTAATAATAAATTGAGCGATCAATTAATTGACGAGCTACATGTCTCGTGTCATTTCGCTTTATGTTAGATGTTGATCCGATCAATTAAGCCGTGTCTTATAAACGCGCTGCTACGGATCGGGAAATCGCTGGAATCGACAAAGCAAGAATACGAAAGCGAGAATCGAAAAAACACAGACACAGGATTTACGTGGTTCACTAACACGATGTGTGTTAGCTACGTCCACGGGCGAGAGAGAGCCGATTTCACTATATCAAGGAGATTACAGATTACAGAGGAGTATGAGAAGTATTTATAGTACTTCTCCATGTGGGTCTAAATCTAATCCAATCTGAAAAAGGAAACGGTTACAGACCAGGTCCAGAACCCGAACCCAAATAACATTGAGCCCATATTACCAATCGTAGCGGCTGATAGTCCGATTCAAGTCATATCAACATCGCAAAATGCGTCATTTTTCTCTACCATTAGTTTATTGAGCAATGAAATTTTTTTATTCAAATCCTACATGGATTCACATGAGACAGAATGGGAAGTGTCTAACTTGATACATACAGTCTTACTAATTTGCAACGATCTTATATAAATGTTAGTCAACTTTTCTTAATGACTAGTTTGAGAATTACTTTTGCTGGCCAACATACAACCCAACAGCACGCATCCGCCACCCACCCAATCCAACCCGCAGATAAAATGTGGGCGGATAGCAGGTCACGGTTATATATACTAACTCACTAGCAAGCGGGTGGGTCAATTTGAGGGGAAAAAAACTCAACCAACCCCATCCATTGCCTACCGTAAGACAACTCTTACTATTGAATTCTTGGTGATCCGAACACACGACCACTTGACCAAATCAGCATTGAGGCCATGTAAAAAACCAGTCGGTCCTAATAACTCAAGTTGTTGAGAGAGGTTGATGTATGGTACTTTAACCATTTCATTACATTAGAAGATGTTCATATATGGTACTTAACCACTTCTTTACATTGAAAGCGATATTTAATCACTTCCTTACTCCATGCAGGTGTCAACCTGACCCGATTGAAAGCGATATTGATTGCTGAGACCCCCGATTCCCGTCGTAGCGGCTGATAGTCCGATTCAAGTCATATCAACAAATCTCCACCTTGACTTGAATCATCTTCCTCTGAAATCTCTGATGTACTCTGCTCCTTCTCTCTCTCTCCCGCCATCAATGCCCCGTAGGGCGGAGTCACCCACTCAAGACATTCAGCAAGTCCAAGCATTGTTGGAACTTGCCATGTGGAACCGGCTTCGTGAACATATCAGCAGGATTATCCGCGGTGACAACCTTCTTCACCTTAATCCTCTTCTCTGTCCTCAAGAAATGATACCTCACATCGATGTGCTTAGTCCTCTCATGGTGGACTTGATCCTTGGCCAAGCATATTGCACTCAAACTATCGCAATACACCACTGCCTGATCATGATGTAGACCCAGATCACCAACCAGTCCCTTCAACCATATTCCCTCCTTAGCAGCTTCTGTAAACGCCATATACTCTGCCTCAGTAGTCGACAATGTCACCGCCGACTGCAGAGTTGCCTTCCAGCTCACTACAGAACTCCCAAGAGTGAATACATAGCCGGTCATCGATCTCCTCGTGTCAACATCTCCAGCATAGTCCGAGTCAGAATACCCAGACACCAAGCACTCTGTATCACTTTCGAAGCTAATCCCCACATCAGGTGTACCCTTAAGGTACCGGAAGATCCTCTTCACAGCCTGCCAATGCTCCTTCCCAGGTTGTATCATAAACCTGCTGACAACACTAACAGCATGTGCAAGATCAGGTCTAGTGCATACCATAGCGTACATCAAGCTACCTACTGCACTAGCATATGGGACTCTCGACATGTACTCCTTATCAGCCTCTGACTGCGGTGCATAAGCTGAGGATAGATGAACATTTGAAGCACTAGGAGTATTTAAGGGCTTTGCTGAAGACATGCCAAACCTCGACAGTATCTTCTGGATGTAGCTCTTCTGTGACAAGAAAAGCTTCTTCTTCGACCTGTCCCTGTAAATCTCCATACCCAAGATCTTCTGAGCAGCTCCCAAATCCTTCATCTCAAACTCAGCACTGAGAAGCCCCTTTAACTTCTGGATATCAGACTTTGACCTCGCAGCTATGAGCATATCATCCACATACAGAACTAGATATATCATCGAACCATCCTCTGCCTTGCTGTGATATACACAACAATCATATGGACTTCTGTTGTAGCCCAGCTCAAGCATGTAACTGTCAAATCTCTTGTACCACTGCCTCGGAGATTGCTTAAGTCCATACAAGGACTTCTTCAGCTTACAAACATAGTCTTCTTTACCCAGAACCTCGAATCCTTCTGGCTGAGTCATGTAAATTTCTTCTTCCAACTCTCCATGTAGGATAGCTGTCTTCACGTCTAGCTGCTCGAGCTCCAAGTCATAATGTGCCACTATTGCTAGTAGCACTCTGATCGAAGTATGTCTCACCACTGGTGAGAAAATCTCATTATAGTCAACTCCTTCCCTCTGCGAGAAGCCTCGTGCAACCACCCGAGCTTTAAATTTCATGCCATCTTTAGAAGTGATTCCTTCCTTCTTCTTGTAGATCCACTTGTTTGTAACAATCTTCCTTCCCTGTGGTCGTTTGACTAGCTCCCAAGTCTGATTCCTGTCATGGGATTCCATCTCATCTCCCATTGCGGCAAGCCACTGATCGTCTTCACCACCCGAAACTGCTTCTCTATAGGACTGTGGCTCTCCTGCATCCACTTCCTCAGCAACCTGAAATGAATACGCCACCATGTCCTCGAGGCCATACCTCTGTGGAGGTACTCCTGCAGTCGCTCTCTTCGGTCTACCGGAAGCAATAGACTGTATAGCTCGAGCACTGGACTCTGAACTTTCTGGCTCTGCAGCGACATCCTCATCATGTTGATATTCTCCACCTTGGTGCTCAAACTCACTCTCGTTGAGAGTTTGCAGCTCCACCTGTTTATCAACATTCCTGCTACCTTCAACAACAGTAACTTTCAACATGGGGTTAAATATAGACTTCTCATCAAATATCACATTTCTACTAAGTATAACTCGATGCTCAGAAGGTGACCAGACTCGAAATCCCTTAACTCCATATCCGTAACCCACAAATACACCCTTCTTTGCCCTTGGGTTCAGTTTACCCTCATCCACATGATAATAAACAGGACACCCAAAAACTTTCAGTGAAGAGTAATCAACAGGCTTACCATACCACACCTCATAAGGAGTCCTCAACTCGATACCTGTGTGAGGTCCACGGTTGATCAGGAAGCACGCCATGTTCACTGCTTCTGCCCAGAATCTTCTCTCGAGTCCAGCATTAGAGAGCATGCACCGTGCTCTCTCCAACAATGTCTGGTTCATCCTTTCTGCAACGCCATTCTGCTGGGGTGTATCTCTCACTGTCCGATGACGGGCAATCCCTTTATCCTTGCAGAATTCGTTGAACTCAGAATTACAGAACTCCATACCATTGTCCGTTCGCAGCTTCTTGAACTTCTTCCCGGTCTGATTCTCCACCAATGTCTTCCACTGCTTGAACTTCGTGAAAGCCTCACTTTTCTGCTTCATCATGAAAATCCAAGTAAATCTCGAATAATCATCAATAATAGACAGAAAATACCTGCTGCCTCCAATGGATTCAGCTCGTGAAGGACCCCAACAATCGGAGTGGAGGTAATCCAGTATCCCCTTCGTCCGGTGGATACCCTTCTTGGGAAACTTGCTGCGATGTAGCTTCCCAAACACACAATGCTCGCAGAATTCCAAATCCTGCACCTTGTGCCCGCAAAGAAGATCCCTCTTCGACAGAACTTGCATCCCCCGTTCACTCATATGCCCCAGTCTCATGTGCCAGAGAGTGGTCATATCTTCCTGATGAACCTGAGACGATGCAACTGCAGCAGAACCAGACAACACAGACCCTTGTAATGCATACAAGGTCCCACGCTTCACGCCCTTCAGCACCTTCCTTGAACCTTTGCAGACATACACAACTCCACCTTTTCCTTTGAAGCTGAAGCCCTTACTGTCGAGTAGACCCAAGGAGATCAGGTTCTTTGTCATTCGTGGAACATGCCTGACATCATTCACGGTACAGAATGAACCATCATGTGTCCGAACCTTTATGGACCCGATTCCAACAACCTTGCAGACAGTTCCATTTGCCATGACCACGTTACCACCATCTATCTGCTCGTAGGTTGTGAAGCAATCCCTGTTCGGAGACATTTGGTATGAGGCTGCAGTATCCAGAAACCACACATCCCCACGATGTGCCTTCTCGTCTACAGCCAAGGCGAGATCGTCTTCAGAACTATTGTCCACTTCTGCCACGGCAACTGAACCTTGTTTCTTCTGGTGCCCTCTTCTCTTGGGACAGTTGTACTTCCAATGCCCCACTTCCTTACAGTTGTGACAAGCATCACCTGGCTGTGGACCGGGACCCTTGGAATTCTTGCTCGAATTCCCTTTACCAGATTTCTTCTTTCCCTTTCCACCTGTAACAGCCAAACCCGATGCCTCACCACCTGTACCAGATCCAGACGCCTTATGTCTGATCTCTCTCGTATGAAGAGCAGACCTGACATCTTCCAACGACACGCTTTCTTTACCGGCAATAAAAGAATCAACGAAATACTCATATGACACTCCTGCTTTCTTTTCTCCCTCACTAGTAGTACCCCTTAGGAAATCAACAAAGCAAGTATTTTTTTCCTAAGAAGTATGATGATTTTTATGTGGGCTTGAATCAAGTCAGTGATGGTCCCACGCAGATTGTTCCGGAATGGGTTAGGGTGATTACTTGTTTTTTTAGTAATCACACTAGCAACCTCTTTATATACCATGTGATTAACTATTTTTCCTTCTTTTTAATCTAACGGTCAAGATTCTTTTAGGGTAATTTTGGAAATGAAAATATAACCACACC